AAATAACAAAACTCTTTTTAAAGCAAATAATTCACAGAAGATTCGATTTTCAAAGAAATATGTCTGAGTGTCTGAATAGAGAGAGGAGGAACAGTTAAGAAACAGGGTCATCTTCCCACAGACATTCAGAGCTCACATGTCACATCGTGAAACTTAATTGTATTTATTCAAAACTGTTTTTGTTTTCTTCTGATTCAGTACCTGAAAATCAACAGCTGAGAACCACAGACCTGACCCCAGGAAACTGGTGCATAAGGAACTTCCTCACACCAAGCATCGGCAGCCTAGATCCCTTAAAGCTCAGAAGTATAGAAAAAGCCAATGGGCCCCTTGAGACTGAGCATTCCCCGGCCCGAGGACGAGAACCCCAGGGTAAGTGGAGGCCTGCATGTCCAAGCAATCCAGGGAGGTGGATGAGTCAGACACTGGGATCAGTCCGTCTCTTTAATCCATGGTCCTTTCCAGTCTCAACTGGGCTTTCTGGGGCCCTGCTCAGCTGGGAAATAGAGTCACGTAAAGCCTTGGGAGGAGATGAGCAGACTCAGCCATTATTTATAGTATAGCTTTACAGTGTTGTGTTTTATTGTTGAAATTTTGCTCATCACCATAACCCTCGGGTCCTCCAATCCTAGCGCAAGTGTGCACCCACCCCCTATTGTAGGCAAAACGAAACCATTTTCACTTAAAAAGTATTACAGCCATGTATATCCATATGGAACATTCAAAGATGATTCAAAATCTCACCCAGGATCAACCTTTGACAGCTACTGGGGATATTGTGGGGTGTGTTCAAAGATAACTTCTTTTCTCCTCACAGTTGAAGTGCAAAAACTGTGGAGCCTTTGGCCACACTGCAAGAAGCAGTAGATGTCCCATCAAGTGCTCAAGTTGGATTGTAGTCCCACAGCTCCTGGGGCCAAGGAAGGAGAACCAGAACCCATGCAAGACCCAGAACCTGAGGAATCCAGGGCTGCTCAGTCAGGAAAAGAGAGAAAAGGAGCCAAGAAACAGGTGTGTGATGGGGGAGGATGGGGGAGCGCTCAAGATGCTGAAGCCTTGTCCTGAGGCTTTGCTCCATCTCCACATGATGGGAACTCCATCTCTGGGCAATGACAGAATCTATGTAGATCTCAAAATGATCATGATAGCCCCTAAAGCACACAGAGGGCAGCTCCTTCATTCCCTGCCCAATCTGTAGTCAGAGGGATTTGGGCTCACCTAGGATCCTGCAAATACCTAGCAGAAAAGCATTGGTGTCTACAGGGCAGGATTGTGGGAAATGAGAATCACTGTTTACACCAAGGAAAGGGTCGGGAAGAGCAAAAGCTGCATGTGCAGGAACTTCAGAGAAGCTCGACCTGTGACATTCCAAATGCTGACAGGGTCAGAGAGGGAGAGGCAATTGTTCCAATTCTGTACAAACCCTGAAGTGTTCACATGTCATTTCTGTTCCTCAGACCAGATCAGCAGAGCAAGCATCTCCTCCACATGTTTTCCCTGGGAGCCCAAATGAAGGACCAGCGAAACCACGTGGATGTGACTAGAAGTCCTGACGGTTTTACTGTAAGTGTCCTTTTGTGGCCAGCTCCTTTTCCTCCTGTGTGTCCTGGTTTGGTCGCCTTATGTCACTTGTGGGTGTCAGATTCCTTGAACCCTCTTGTTTGTTGCAAGGACTGAATTCTTTATTTCTTATCTCCCAGCTTTCTTCCATTTACAGTAATGATTTTCTGACTTGTCGCTTATTTGATTTCTTGGTACAGTCTAATGAACTGCGGGCAGGCGTCTTAATAACTGTGTACTTGAAAGTAACCTTGGTCTTCTAGAAGTCCTTCATTCCCTATAAGCTCATATCAGAACCGAGGTCTGCATACCTAGCCTGCATCTATCTATCATCTCTTATCTATCTATCTATCTATCTATCTATCTATCTATCTATCTATCTATCTATCATCTATGTATCTATGTATCTATCTATCATCTATCTGTGTTATCTGTGTGTGTTTTGTGTGTGTGTGTCTATGTATTGTCTTCATGGGTTTTTCTGTGCGTTGTTATCTATCTATCTATCTATCTATCTATCATCTATCTATCATCTATCCATCTATCATCTATCTATCTATCATCTATCCATCATCTATCTATATATAATCTATCTATCATTATCTGTCTATCTAAATATCTACCCATCTTTGTATCTGTTTTCATTTTCAGTAGTATAGGTATACACGCATTTACATATAATGCATCAATATACACATTCATGCACATTAGACTTTCTTATATTGTGGGTTCCCTATACCATCCAGACTGGATGGAAGTGGATACACAGCATTCTGCAGAGTTTGGGTAACTAGTGTGGGGCATCACATCCTGAGCATTCTCTCATCAATGTGACACTAGAAAAGTGTTAGATGTTATATTACTAATGCAGACTCTGTTATTTCAGCGACTTTCACTTTCATTTGATGCTGAGACAGGACTGATGTGTAATGGACCTATGATTTTTATTTTCTGCAGCATCCAGGCGTGCCAATGCTCATTCACAGGACCAGGAAGATACCTGCCGTGGACCATGCTCCAACTAGTCTGCCACTTGACAAGAAATATAAGAGGAAACACACATACCCTGAAGAGCCTCTCATCCAAAGCCCTGATCCCACCTTTTCATCTCCAGGACATGTCAAAAGTAAGAAGGAGGCTATCACAGCTACCCAGAAGCCTGTGTCCTTGTACTATGTACCAAAGCCTTCCCTTGAGAATCTGAGGGGTCAGAGTCTACAGGGACACTCTCAAAGTCCAAACTTGGCTTCAAGAATGCATGGAAAGGGTAAAGTGCTCAGCAGACACTCACCAGCCACGTGCCATGATGGGAACAGACATCCTGTCCTACATACACATGGACAGGTCCCCAAACTGAGCTTCTGGGTACCAGGCAAGAAGCCTTCAGATGTCTCCCTGCAGTCTAGGCAGAATCCCACAAAGAAAGTGAAAGTCAGTTCCATCCAGTCCCCTGAGAACAGCTTTGTATGTCCTGCTTTGAAGGCTGCCCTGGATCTGCAGACGTCTGAGAGGATCAAGAGGCCTGGACTACAAGAGTCATCCAAAGTGAGCCAGAAGAATCCATCTCACATTCACAAATCAGACAAAGAGCTACTACAAAACCGATCTCACCTGATTTCTGCGCAGCCCTGCATCAAATCTGATCACCCATTGTC